GCCGTCAGCAAGATTCATAAGTCAAAGGCCGAAATCAACAGTGTCGTCATGTGCATGCAGGTAAGAATCCGATTCAGAATATGCAAAATCTGTGTTTTGTTTAGGAACAACTGGCCACGATGCGGATGGCGGGAGCAATGCAAAAGAGCACGCAAGTGATGAAGAGCATGCAGAACCTGGTGAAGGTAAGTTGTTGAAGAACTTTTATAGTATTTATGATTTACGAAACGTGAAGGTAACTATTGCGAGCTTGTTATCATTAATTGTAAAGAACCATTTTTTTAAACTTTGCGTCGCTATCAATGACTGTAGTGATAACTGTCATTAACTGCTCTAAATGAGGTGTTCTAATTCTTTCTCTCGCTTAACTCACCATGACACCTCACAGTTGTCATGATTGACACGCCAAATTTCCAATAATTGTTTGCTATTTTCATTCTATCTATTTACTTTCCTTATCTCGACCATGGATCAAAAGGTGTTCAGGGCCGCTTCGACAATAAATAAGCAGCAAAAACGTGCAGGTTATGAACTTTTAATGTGTAAACTGCTCGGCCAAGTAATTTTGCGACAGGAAAAATTGATATTTAGCTCTCTGGAAATGGAATAGAACACTGTTCACTGATCGGGAGATCATTGAACGGTTTGACTTTTGCAAGATCCAGGTGATCTAATAAGACTTATATACAGTTAAACCTGGTAGGATGAATACTGAAGTCAGTGCATGATTGTAATTTACCTACTATTGGGGTTTGACTGTAAATAAACCCCCAAAAATACTTCACCCCAAAAGTTCTAAACTATTTCTAATCCAGAAAAGAATTTTTCGTTCCAAATTTTTAAAAGCGGCATACAGCTATTTCAACTTGTTTACGAGCTTTTGCCTATGTTTTGTTTGTACTTTCCTCGCCCTCTCGGGTGGAGTTGAGTGCAATCGCGGGGGTCACTCGGCTCGCGGTGAACGTGACGGAATGGCAACATGTGCCTTTCTTTTTGCCCCTCTTCCCCTTTCACCCATCACCCCACCGATTTCACATGCCCTTTTTTCGAGACGAACCCTCCACCCCCTTTTCAAAGATCCCTTTCAATGAGAAAAGTGCTTGTCGAACCTGCCATTCACTTTTCCTGTCCCCCACCCCCCATACAAATCGGACCACCTGGGAAATCTAGTCAAACTTGAGATTTCTAAATTACTCAAGTTTTTAACTGATCTAGTCTGATTGGGCATTAATTATTTATTACCTGTCTATATTTATTTGCAATAAGCTCACTTACCCATTATCTACACTTCCTGTAAAATGTTGGAAGCTATTTTATTTATGGCAATCAAGGTTTGTACCTACAATTTTTTATTACTAAAATTTATGTTAAATCTAAAAAGTAAAGGTGACAAAAGCTAAAATCCCAAAATTTTTGCGCATTTACATCAAAGTTCCATTCAAAATTTCAAAATTGATAAGCTAAACAAAAAGTCAAAGAAACACTTCGTCATTGGTCAAATAAAGAATGACTCATTGCGCTATTTTAGGTGCCCGAGATTATGAAAACGATGCGTGAGATGAGCGAAGAAATGATGAAACTCGGCATCATCGAGGAGATGATTGAAGACACGATGGACGCCATGGATGAGCCCGATATGGAGGAGAGAGCACAGGTATGGTTGGGTCGTTTTAAAAGTCACGTATTACATTAAGTTCTATTCAACAAGAAAAGTAATTATCAAGTTTCTATTAAGCATCACATTTCTTTCTTTCAGGAGGAAGTCGACCGAATCCTTTGGGAAGTAACAGCCGGCGAGCTGGGCAAGGCTCCATCAGCGGTGAAGGGCGGTCTGGAGATGGAGGGAACGACAGCCGACTCTGAGATGGAAAGGATGCGAGAACGACTCGCCGAGCTCAAGGATTAATCAAGTGCCTTTTTGATCTTTGTACACCCTTTGATCTTCTTGTTAGAAGTTTCATCATATACCTAGTCTATTGAAAGTTTTGCCATGTTTAACTTGGATTAATTTATCATCAATATTTATAACTTTTCACAAAGAAAAGCTTCAAAATATTCCTCTTTTTTTCGTCATGAAATTAACTTTTGTAAGCCCTTTTTTACCCTAGATCTCAATTTATGTAGATCCCACTTTTTTTGTTTCTGTGACCGATTTTGCACATGAACCTAATTTCAGTGTTACTTGACCTTTTCATTGATTTGTTTGCGAATTACTCCTTTTTAAAGTTTATACGTGTTATTTGGGTGTTCTGGACGGGCTTTTCAAATTTTCTTGAATAAAACTTTGCAAAGTAAATAACTATTGGTTTTGGCATTATTTTTGACCCGTTTGGTTCCTTTGCAAGCAATGAGAACGTTACAGACTTCCAGTAATTAATGTGAGAAGGACTTTTGAATTCAGAAAAGTTGGAGCGGGAGGGGATCTATTGTAATGGAAACTTTGAGCTTTAATTATCCCTTTTGTGATGGTTTTGTGAAACTTTATGCACAATACAGATTTACAGATGTTCGGACCATCGTCACTTTTGCGAGCCGCTCGTATGGGAGTGAAGTAGCTGTATCGGACGGCGAAAATTTCGGTATTTTTTTGTCTCTTGATAATCTCGGTTAGTTGAAATAGGTTATTGTGTTAGTTTATAAGCTTTTGCGACCGTAAACTTTGCATTTACTGACTTTTTAAAATTAAAGAATTCTAGAGCTTGACTCGACCTCGTGTTGTTCTTGGAAGTATTGGGTTTAAAGCCCCCCCCCCCTTTAAGCATGTTAATCAATGTTTTGATTTAGGTTAGAGAGTAGCTAGCGGAGAACTCGTGAAGAACATTGAATTGATGCAGAAATTGCACGAGTTGTTGGGAACGATTCCAGTAATATTTTTCTCTTAAAAAGAATTTTGGTTACGACAGCTAGGTAGTTTTATTGAATAATAGAAAAAAATTATTATCACAACAACCAACTTTAGCTATTGAGACTTCAGTAGCGAAAGTCTGACAGCAACATAATTTGACTAGAGTGTGATAAAATCAAATGAGATACTTAAAATTTTTCCGTCTTACGTTTGATTTTCTTATTTTCCAGGTTGATTTTGAAGGTCCCTGCTCATTTGGGTGTTCATGGGAATGAGATGGTCGATCGACTTCCTGCACAAATCAATAAAGCAAAAAGCGAGCAAATTAATTTCATTTCCGAAAACATTAAGCCAAAATAAGTATTAATTTTTTTGCTTTTGCTCAATTTTTTGATCGATCTCCTTCTATTTGGGTGTTATTCATCGCCTTGTTTTGTACATGCTTTTTCATATCTTTTTTAAACGTTCGAGTGTTTTGTTAATTTATTATGATTCGGGTGTTTGCACAAGTATTTTACATGGGTATTTTTATAACAAATAAATGCTGCAAGTTTGTTCTTTAAACTTTTGATAGTTGCTTTTGTTTGCAAATCTTTATTTAAACTTGAATGCTTTGCGGTGAATGAGTTCAAATGCGTGTTTGAAAAGAACTTTTAAAGTGTACTTTAGTGTTGACTATGCATTTAAGTAACTTATTAATACATAATAAGTTCAAATTTTCAGACGTCTCTTTCCAGTCTTTTTAGACGTGTTTTGTGGCAAGGGGCCAAGTTTTCGGTTTGTGCTCAAAAATTACGCCATTTTAATCGAAACCTAGGATCTCACTAGATCGGCTATCGCTTTTCAAGGGAAATTTTCGGATTTTCGAAGGCCAGGTATTTTTTAAAATTAGTATTTATTAGCCTTAAAAGATTAAAGGAACCTACGATTTGTAAACACGACTTTTTAGGTTTTTGTCGTCTCGACTCTTTTGCAATGGCGCCTCGATTCAGCTTCTATGCGGTGGCTAATGGACGGAATACTGGTTAGTTGAACATTTTTTTCTAGAAATGTTTAAATTTTGATTTTAGGCATCTACTCATCTTGGGACGAGTGCAAGAAACAAGTTGATGGCTATGCAAATGCCAAGTAAGATTTTTTAATAACAACAGTCATGAAAGCTTTCTTTAGGTTTAAGAAGTTTGGTACTAAAATGGAAGCGCTTGGTTTCATTCGAGAACATGATCAGCTAAAAGGTGGCTTTCGTCGATATAATTTTTCCAATAAAGCTTTTAGTTTGTACAAAAGTCATCCTGAAGAAAAAACAAGTACAAAAGAATGACAAAAAGGAAAAAAAGTTCGAGCTGTCTTTTTGTTTATTAATGCATTCTTTAAGGAAAATTCAAGTAATGTTGTTGAAAGTGGAGGAGTCTGAGCGGCGGACATCAACGAAATCAGAGGATGGGTAAGTTAAAGTTTCAAAGACCGTTTGCAATGTTAAACTTTTAGCTACGAAAGAAACACCGCCGGATTCGTGGTGGTTTACACTGATGGCGCTTGCTCGAACAACCACAAGCGATCAAAAGCTTTGGTAAGTTCCATGTAAAAACCTGTCAATCAACTTGTTAATATTTCTAGGCTGGTTATGGAGTTTTCTGGAACGATGATCACCCAGATAATGAAAGTGGACCGATAACTGGTGAACAGACGAACAATCGGGGAGAGGTCACGGCCGTAATTAGAGCTATCGAAATTGTAAGTATTTAGGTATATTTTTTAAGTTTTGAAAAAGTATTGTCGAGATTGTAATCAATTAATTCATATTTAGGCGATGAAGAATGGTCTTGATGCGCTTTGTGTTCGCACTGATTCACAGTTTCTGATCGACTCTATGACTAAATGGGTGAAAGGTTGGAGAAAGAATGGTGAGTTTTAACGCTCAATGTTAAGTTTTAAAAGTTAATACTAACTTAAACATGGTCAAAGTAACAGTTTTTGGGTTTAGGGTGGAAAACGGGCTCCGGGGAACCAGTGAAAAACATCGAATTGATGAAGAGGTTGGACGAGTTGACGCAATCGATTCGGGTAATATCTATTTTAAATTTTAAAAAGACCTTGGAAGTTGATAAATATTTAAATATTAGCACAACAGCTATTTGGGAATGAAACCCCGTCATTTTGCTGATTTTTCAGGTTGTTTACGAGAAAGTCCCGGCGCACTCGGGTGTTTATGGGAATGAGATGGCCGATCGACTTGCCGTGCAAGGAGCCGAACGAGCAAACTGAATCAAATTGTGTAAATCTTTTTGACAAATTTCGAGATTCAAATCGGTGCAATTAAGTCCAACTTTATTGTGATTGCTTTTACGTGAAAAGTTTCTTTGATTTACGGTTAACTTTTTGTGCGGGTACAATGAATTTTTTAGTTTGTAACAGGTTGAGCTTTTATGTTTCTAACGGTGAATATTTTGAACAAGTTTGAAAGAATTGTAAAAAGATTGTTTTTGGTGAACGATGAAATGTCTCGACACTTTGCTCAAAAGATCGAGTTTGAGGATAATGACGGGCATGCTTTTTTCGAATAATAGTGAAATTGTAAAGAAATTCAGAATTCTAGAAAGTTACTAACGTGTCATTTTTAGGCATAACAAGCTGTCGATGCGCGTCTGATGGACCCGCGGATGGTCGTCCAAATCCGGCTTTCGACCACTTGCCATGGGAAAAGCTGTCGAAAATGATCAAGGAGACGGAGCTCACGAAAGATGAGGAACGATTGATGCAGCGATATAGAGATTGGCCAGCGTGAGTGATATTTGAAACTTAGAAGCTATTATGGGAAGATGTCGGGCACAATTTTTTTGTAGGACATCCTTAGAAGTGCTCGGCGAGCTTTAAAGCGTTTCTTTTTCCTTCACGATCAACATTTTTAGTGACAAAACGATCCAAATCCAGCAAAAGTTCTGCTACTACCGGAAGCTGTACCTGAACTGCGAATCGGATCCATCGCGCTCGCTCGTCGTGCACTATGATGACAACAACAAGGTTACCTTTTATGAGGATCAATTGATTGGGACCCTTTATGCGATCTTATGGGTTTGTTTTGCTTGATTTAAGTAGCTTTTTAGAAGATTTACGCACACAAAAGCTTTTTTCTGTGATATTTCACTTTTTAGGGACTTCACACTGGTCAGCAGCTGATTAAAATCGTAAATTCGAAGCTAGAAGTCTGCGACGTCAGTGTTTATATTTTTTTTTTTGCATTTGAATCACTCCATTTAGTATTTGCGAAAAAGCAAGACACCGCCGGCCAAAAGTCCCGAGATTGTGCTTTTGTTGAGAAGCTTGCTCAACCCGACGATCGACAATCCGCCATTTCAGGTATTTTATGATAACTACGTGGTATCTGACCTGGCTACTTTGGTATTAAATTTGTATAAAGGTACTTACCAAAAAAATACTGCTACTAGATGAAGGTAAAATACACGATCAGTTTTACAGGTGAGACTCATGCACAAGGACTACGATCTGGGCTTTAAAGACAAACCGCCTTACACTCCATTCTTTTTTAAAGAAAGCGTTTTTCTTGATACGACGATGCCTGCCTGGGATTTGATCAAACAGGTCACCGAAAAAGGTTCTACTTATCCATTTTATCTTTAAAAATTGTTGACTTAAGGTTTTGACGACATTCCTGCGTTGGAAAAACGATTTGCGAAGGCAAAGGCTTCATCGAAGAAATCATTAGTTAACTTTTAAAGTTACCGAAAAAAATTTTTTGGATAGCCTTTTTTAGATTTTTTTAATATTGTTAAGTCATACAGGTAAGTTTGTTGATATTTTCGTTGTACAGTTATTTCTCTGTTGTTATCTTTTGTGATTGATCGTTTTCCCGGTTGTTCAGGAAAATAAATCTTTGCAAAGGTTAAAAGTCGAGAAAAGGGCTGTAAAATTGCAGTTTTATTGTATTTTGATAGTTAACGATGTCAAAAATAAAAATTCTATGGTTTTTCTAAGAATTTCAGAAGCGATGAGCGGAATGGGCGGACCACCACCCCACGGCCAGCTGCCACCACAAGGAGGACAAATTCCCCCCCGGTATGGGGAGAGGATATGGGCCAGGTAGATTTTTTGGCACAGTAGCGCTTAAAGATAGAAAGCGGTTAAACCTTTATCGCGAGTCCCAGCGAGACAAGTTGAACCTTGGAAAACTTAAATCGTTTTAGAATCCTTTTTCAGAGACAGAAGGTGTAAAAAATTATTCATTTTTCTTTATTTAGGCGGTCCCTCGAACGAACCATGGAACGCCTACGGCGCCCAGCAACCACCACATGGCCAGCAACAACAGCAACAACCTCATCAACAACCGCCTCCTCAACAACAATTCTACAGTCAAATGCCCCAGCAACAACTCCCACCACCGCAACAACATCAACAACCACCAATGGGAATGTATCAAGGACAGGTAGGTCCTTAATGACTGTATCGGATTAGCATAAATTGAAAATTTTTTCCTGTGACTGTGTTGGTCAACTTTTTTCATTAAGTTTATTAAAATTATACGATTTTGGTTTAAAGTTTAATCCAGTAAGTTTTAACAACCGTATTTGATATTTATTCAAATATATTGTGCAACTTTAGGGACAAGGGATGCCTCCACAACAACAGCAACCTACATTGCCACAACAGCCACAATATCCGATGGGAATGGGTCAACAATTGCAGCAGTCATTGCAAAATCCTCATCCGCAGCAGTCATTGCAAAATCCTCAACAGCAGCAGTCGATAAGTGGTCAAGCGAGAGCTCCACCACAAGGCTACAACTCGCCAGCGCCGATGGGTTCAGTTGGATCGACCGCGCCCGCCTCGCAACAACAACAACCGGCGCAACCCCAACAACAACCGGCGCAACAACAAGAGATCAAGTTTCGCAACGAGTTGCAGATGTACCCAGAGCAGATTCTCAACAATTTAGCCACGTACGACGTTGCGCAGTTGTGCACAATTGGGAAAGAGATCGTGAATGAGTTAAATGCGAAGACGTCAACCTTCTGTCAGCTGATGAAGGTGATCTCAGAGAAGCGCCCGAGCAATCAGCAATACGCGTATATCAACTACTTGATGGAATATTGCGAGTTGCTGTTGAAGAAGTTGTACGAGATACGGCTGAGGATCGAGAAAGCGGCACCTGGGATAAAAATGGACCCGGACGAGTTCATTAAACGAATGAGTGAAAGCGAGATGCCGAAAGTCCCTGAGAAATTGGAACAAGTGATTGCCGAGTTCGAACGAAAACGAAAACAATTGGTGGCGATTAGCGCGGAGATCAAGCTGTTCGATTGGACCGCCGCCGTGACCGACCCGGCCACGTTAAAGAGTCGAGAACGCGGGGAAAGGAGTTGATCGGGGATTTTTAACCTGGATAAATTGGTTGTATGATTTTATGGTAATCACTGTGTTTGATCTCATTTCTTGAAATATTTAATTTTGCTGTTTTTAAAATTTCTCGCTCTCAAGTTTCTTAAATTATTTGATGACAATAAATTTCAGGAACCGTGGCTTTTAAAATTTGTGCCAATGCGATCTCCAGAGCGAGTTGGCGGTGGATTGCAGGTAAAACTTTCTTCCGGCATACTGTAGCTAGATAGTAGATTAGATTACAGTAGTTTTGTTGAGTATTAACGCCAAATATTAGAATTTAGGCTCCGCACGGGAAGCGAGCACGAAATCGTGTCAACAGCACCAAATCAACAAAAAGAGAGTTATCAAAAGTCTTGAAGTGAAACAAAGGCCATTGTGAGTGCTTTCAGTGTTTGAGCTTTTTATTTTTCAAATCTTATGGTTTTGGCCTAAAGCATTACTTAAAAATAATGTAGTTGAATCTAAAAAGTACTGCATTCTCACCATAACTTGCCATTTTAGACAAGGAACACTTCGAATTACGCCAAAGTTTTACTACTTTCGATGTCTCTACTTGGAGTGTTGCGAGCAACCAGATCTTTCGCTTATCGTACCATACTCATACTCGAGTGTGTACACTTTCTATGAGGACCAGCTCATCGGCATGTTTTACTCAATTTTGTGGGTGAGCTCTTGAAAATGTCAATTTTTATAGATACTCATTTGAATCTTCTATGTTACTTATATTTATATATTTTAGGGGGTTCACAACGGCTTCAAACGGATCGACGTCTCTATTTACCATGAAAGAATTTGTACAGTGCGTCTTTGAAAAAACCAATAAAAACTAGCATTGTTTTATCTGTATTTAACACGTTGTGTTTAGTATCTACGACAAAGTGATCCGACGATCGTGGGCAAGCATCCGATTAAGAAACCGGAGCTTGTCAAAGCATTGATGAAAATGTTTCAAACGAAAGAGGAGGATTTATTTCAGGTGTCCGAAAATATATTTTACTTTAGTGCATTAAATTTCAGGTCCAACTTGGTCTCCGTGCCTGCAAAGATCCGCTCTACGAAAAGCCACCACCAGGGAACAAAATGAGCGAGTTGCGCTTTTTGGATACAACGCGTGATATTTCAGACTTAGTTCAGCAAGTCATTGAAAGAAGTGAGGACGGTTTTCTAATTACTATAAGGCAGACTTTTATAGTCTGTAGATTTGCATTAACACTAAATCCTGCTCAATTTAGATCCTTTTGAGATCCCGGAGCTGCAAGAGAGAAATATTCGCGAGGCTTCAACGAGGAAGCAATTCAAAGGTAAAGCTGTCTTTTTGTATATTAAGTTGATTTTCATCTAGATTTGAGAGAAGAAGGAAAGAAAGTCGAGAATCCGAATAATTCGGAAATTAAGCCAAATTGGAAAAATATTCAAGCAAAAGGTATTGTTTGTTTAGTATCTAAATGACTAATTTTAAGCAGTAGTTTTATTTGTTAAACTTTATTTTTAGTCGTTCAAAAAGCAACAAAGCGATCAATTATCAAAACTCCAAGTGGAGACCTGGTTGTTGTGAAATCGCCACTTTCAATTGCAAAGCCTAAACTGGAAAAACCTAAAATTGTGCCAGCTCTACCTGTGAAATCTCCACGAGACAGCGAATTTATCGAGCTGTATGTAGAAGGTTGGTTTTCGAGCTTTGTTTTCAAATTGATTTGAAACTTACGATGGGAATTTAGCTGAGTTTTCATTTTCACCCAATTTTTGCCAAATACTTTTGTACTGCATTTTTTTGAAAGTGTGTAAAAGGCATGAAGTACTGGAGGAAATCAAGTGCAAAACTTGAAACAAATTTCATTGCTTCACTATTTTTAATAGTTTCAACTTTCTAACTGTCTATCAAGCTAAATTTACTGTTAAAATGGTGTACTAAATATCTAAATGTTCAAAATTTAGATCAAGACAACAGCGATGAAGAGTGGGGCGACTCTTTGAGGATGAGGATTGACGACGACCTCGACTCACAGGCTTCTCGTTGGCGACGACGATATCTGAAATCACGATTCGACCGAGGGGATCTTTGAGTTCGGATTTTGAGCTGTAGATAAATAAGCATAGCCAAGTGGTACTAGAGCATCCCTATCTGTCTTTTGCTTTGTAAATGGCACAGAAAGAAGATATTCAGCTGTGAATTTGTACCCGGTGGTTTTCGGAGTCGGCGAAGCGATTGGCGCTATTCATTTTATTGAGTTTCTCTTCATCTTTCTATCTGTGGGATATTACCGGCTAGTGCCAGGCATTTTAATGATTTGCACAAATTCAAAGTTAATTTCTATTGTTTCCGCGTTTTTCTAGGAGATTGCGCATTTGTCGATATAATATGGGTAACTGTGGTGCTTTTCTTTGTGATTTTTGTTCTCATTTGATTGAGTAGAAGGTGAAATAAAGTAAAATCTGGTTTTGGAAAAAAAATGCGGAAAATTTTTCGCTAAGGAGTGCATCGATTGAAAAACATCTTTAGATTTACCCCATGTTTCGCGTTTAACGACTTGGAATAAAATCAATCAGAAAGCTTTGATGATGATGGCAGATAAAACAAAGAAAATGTGTGCGCGCAAAAGACGCTGCGCAAAAGGCGTTGCACAAATGACGTCCTTTCATCGTTGCGCAGATGAGGGTTTTGTTCGTGTGCGCAAAAGATGCTTTTGTGTGTATGCGCAAATGGCGGTGCGGTATTGTTTGATGAGAAAATTAGCCACACCTCTTTGTGGAAAAAAGAGCAGCGTACAAAAAAGGGTTGAAAAAGTTGAGTTTCAACTTTTTTAACTCAGTGAGTGGTCTTGGTTTGCTAGTGTTTGGTCCATCCATCCCAATTCGTTTCCTAAAAGGCACCCAAATTTCAGCCAAAACCACCGTAATCCGGCCGCAAGTTTTCCTTTCGTTCAGCCCAATTTTGGTCCAGAATCTTTACTTCTTTTGTTTTCTTTACTTTCTATGTTTATTTAAAGTTTCAAATGTTTTTTAAAAAAATTGAGTGTCAAAATTCTGGACTCGGTGATCGGATTGAAACTTTTAATGGTATTTTTTAATGATATCAAAACGTGCAACTTAAGCAGTTCTTTTACTGGTTTTACTTGGTTTCTATGGTTTCAATTGTTTTCACTAATCTTTTTAAGTTTGTGCTCAAAAATTACGCCATTTTAGTGGAGATCTAGGATCTCACTAGATCGGCTATCGCTTTTGAAGGGAAATTTTCGAATTTTCGGAGGCCAGGTATTTTTTAAAATTGTATTTATTAGCCTTAAAAGATTAAAGGAATCTAGGATTTGTGAATGATGTGGTACTTTGGTGGTTGGGAGGGGCCACTTTTATCTTGGCTTAGTTGGATCTAATTTGGGTGGTTTTGGGTGGTTGTATTGATACCTTTCATCTACCTATTCTAGGGTAATCAAATATGGTTATACTTTTAGAGCATTTGCAACACTTTTCAAGTTTCATATTGCCGCTTTTATTTGATTTTCAAGTGTAAGCAGCTTTGAGGTAGCGTTTGGTGGCTAAAGTACATGATATTGGGCTAGAATTGCCAAAAACTTGCTAAAATAGTCACCAATCTATTAAGCATATTCGATTACCCTATAATAGATAAAAGGTATCAATACAACCATTCAAAACAATAGATCCAACTAAGCCAGGATAAAAGTGGCCTCTCCCAACCACCAAAATACCAATGATGTAAGGTTTGTAAATATAACTTTTTAGGTTTTTGTCGCCTCGACTCTTTTGCAATGGCGCCTCGATTCAGCTTCTATGCGGTGGCCAATGGACGGAATACTGGTTAGTTGAACATTTTTTTCTAGAAATGTTAAAATTTTTATTTTAGGCATCTACTCATCTTGGGACGAGTGCAAAAAACAAGTTGATGGCTATGCAAATGCCAAGTAAGATTTTTGAATAACAACAATCATGAAGGCTTTCTTTAGGTTTAAGAAGTTTGGCACTAAAATGGAAGCGCTTGATTTTATTCGAGAACATGATCAGCTAAAGGGTGGCTTTCGTCGATATAATTTTTCCAATAAAGCGTTTAGTTTGTACAAAAGTCATCCTGAAGAAAAAACAAGTACAAAAGAGTGACAAAAAGGAAAAAAAGTTCGAACTGCTTTTTGTTTATTAATGCATTCTTTAAGGAAAATTCAAGAAATGTTGTTGAAAGTGGAGGAGTCTGAGCGGCGGGCATCAACGAAAGCAGAGGATGGGTAAGTTAAAGTTTCAAAGACCGTTTGCAATGTTAAACTTTTAGCTACGAAAGAAACACCGCCGGATTCGTGGTGGTTTACACTGATGGCGCTTGCTCGAACAACCACAAGCGATCAAAAGCTTTGGTAAGTTCCATGTAAAAACCTGTCAATCAACTTGTCAATATTTCTAGGCTGGTTATGGAGTTTTCTGGAACGATGATCACCCAGCTAATGAAAGTGGACCGGTGACTGGTGAACAGACGAACAATCGGGGAGAGGTCACGGCCGTAATTAGAGCTATCGAAATTGTAAGTATTTAGGTATATTTTTTAAATTTTGAAAAAAGTATTGTCGAGATTGTAATTCATATTTAGGCGATGAAGAATGGTCTTGATGCGCTTTGTGTTCGCACTGATTCGCAGTTTCTGATCGACTCTATGACTAAATGGGTGAAAGGCTGGAGAAAGAATGGTGAGTTTTAACGCTCGATGTTAAGTTTTAAAAGTTAATACTAACTTAAACATGGTCAAAGTAACAATTTTTGGGTTTAGGGTGGAAAACGGTCTCCGGGGAACCAGTGAAAAACATCGAATTGATGAAGAGGTTGGACGAGTTGACACAATCGATTCAGGTAATATCTATTTTAAGTTTTAAAAAGGCCTTGGAAGTTGATAAATATTTAAATATTAGCACAACAGCTAGTTGGTAATAATCCCGTCATTTTGCTGATTTTTCAGGTTGTTTACGAGAAAGTCCCGGCGCACTCGGGTGTTTATGGGAATGAGATGGCCGATCGACTTGCCGTGCAAGGATGCAACTTTGTAGGTTTTTGTCGCCTCGACTCTTTTGCAATGGCGCCTCGATTCAGCTTCTATGCGGTGGCCAATGGACGGAATACTGGTTAGTTAAACATTTTTTTCTAGAAATGTTTAAATTTTTATTTTAGGCATCTACTCATCTTGGGACGAGTGCAAGAAACAAGTTGATGGCTATGCAAATGCCAAGTAAGATTTTTTAATAACAACAAGCATGAAAGCTTTCTTTAGGTTTAAGAAGTTTGGCACTAAAATGGAAGCGCTTGATTTCATTCGAGAACATGATCAGCTAAAGGGTGGCTTTCGTCGATATAATTTTTCCAATAAAGCTTTTAGTTTGTACAAAAGTCATCCTGAAGAAAAAACAAGTACAAAAGAGTGACAAAAAGGAAAAAGAGTTCGAACTGCTTTTTGTTTGTTAATGCTTTCTTTAAGGAAAATTCAAAAAATGTTTCTGAAAGTGGAGGAGTATGAGCGGCGGGCATCAACGAAATCTGGGGATGGGTAAGTTGAAGTTTCAAAGATCGTTTGCAATGCTAAACTTTTAGCTACGAAAGAAACACCGCCGGATTCGTGGTGGTTTACACGGATGGTGCTTGCTCGAACAACAACAAGCGATCAAAAGCTTTGGTAAGTTTCATGTAATGACCTGAGCAACTTGTCAATCTTTCTAGGCTGGTTATGGAGTTTTCTGGAACGTTGATCACCCAGCTAATGAAAGTGGACCGGTGACTGGTGAACAGACAAACAATCGAGGAGAGGTCACAGCCGTAATTAGAGCTATCGAAATTGTAAGTATCTACTATATATATGTCGTAGCCGCTAACGAATGATTCGTTAACGGCTAGCCGCTAACGAATCATTCGTTAACGGCTAGCCGATTACGAATGAATTTTTTTTGCTAGCCGTGCACGATTTGTAATCGGCTTCTGCGAACATGGCTCAATTCAAATTAGCCCTTGATTTCAAACTATTTATGCAAAACGCAAATCAGCAAACTAATCACAACGAGTGAAATAAAATTTATAACATTTAGCATTTATAACATATTAACGTTTATAACATAATAACATTTATAACTAACAAAACATCAATTAAAATGCATAAAAACAAACTGTTTATTTGTTGGTACAAGAATTACTGTGATGACATTGGCTATTGCAGAGCATATTGGTTTTGAGGCACACACATCGTCCATTCGTGCATCCATTTGTGATAAACCATCAGAAACTTGTTGTCGCCGTCCTGAACCGATTGAAGATCAATTAATAAGTCGACTTGGCAGCGTTCATTTTGCTCCTTCGCTATGATCGGCTTCACAACAACTCCTTTTTTTGGTGTCTCCTTCTTTAATTCACATTCCGGGCAAAGTTTGATAAAAATCTCGAGTATTTCCTTTGAGATCCCGTGATAATCTCCTCGCAGTTCTTTCCACATCAGGTCCCGGCCGGCGTGTCCTAGCCTTTTGTGAGTTGACGTCAAAACATCGAAGAGTTCTTCTTTCTTGACGACTCGTTTTGGTTGTTCGTTCTCTCCTTTGTCTCCATGATTGTAGAGTATCATTGATTGCTCAATACATTGAATCGAGTAACGACGTGCCCAATTCGCCTCTTCTGTCGTTCGCTTCCGTTTCTCGCTTTCACTTTCACTTGACATTGTTATCAATATGTTCACAATTTCATCGTATTTTTTCGTCGTTAGTATATGCGTTCGCTTTTTCAGAATTTGATACGCGTCAAGTTGGTTGAGAAATGAATTCATCCTGAAAAAAACAAATATAATAAAGCAAGTATAATGAAACCAAAGCATAATAAAAGAGCAGAAAGAAAATTAATCCGAAATCACCGATAACAATGGGGAGGACTCGTCCCGGAGGACCCAATTTCAGCAAAGGGGTATTTTGTAAACTTTTAATAGCTCGCTTCAAAATCAAATTTTTTCTCTTTTCTTTTTTTGTGTAAAAAATTTGAAACCAAAAACGTGGGAAGTTCATTTGAATCTAGCCATGTTCGCAGAAGCCAATTACAAAGATTTCGTAGACATCTAGTGCAAAAATTTCATTCGTAATCGGCTAGCGAAAAATTTCATTCGTTAGCGGCTACGACATATAAAAGAGAAGTGTCCGTCCGTCCGTCCTTCACACTCTGGATCTCGGCTCTCCGTGAACCGTAAACTTTTTATCGATAGGACATCCTTTTTGGTTAAAATGAGTTTTTAATCAAAAACCTGTTAAAAAAACCACTTAGCCACCCCCCTTTTTGCCTCGGCGGTCTATTAGAGGGAGGGCGTGGCCGAGGTGGTTCGTGTCCCGTCTACAAAACGACTGCCTTAAGGGGGGTGTTGGGTTCGATTCCCGTCTGTCCCAAACTTTTTTGTTTTGTTTTCAAGCATGTAGTTGAAGTATGCAAATTTGAGTTGCCTCACAGCGAAGGTATTGATTGGTACAGGGGTCTCGACGTTAATCGCGTCGAGCTTTGCATACCCGTATTTGTTCTAATAGAAGCACATGTGCTTTGATTTTTCAATCTCCCAAAATAGCCGACCAAAAAAGTAGGTAAAGGGGGACCACATGAACCAAAAATTGGGAGCCACCTATATTTTTGCCTTTTTAAATTTTTCTAGAGTAATCGATAGCGCTAATCACGATAAGAGTGTTTTTAAGGTTGTCCATAGTTTTTTGAGTTTTTAACCTTAAGTAACTATAGTGTACTTCACTATGATGTCAACACAGAAAAAGGAACTTAAAATGAGACCGTAAAGGAGTCGACCTCTTAACCAAAACTATTTCTCAAAGCTTTTAGGACCACTCAACATGAATCAACAAGATAGAACTAAAAAGGCTGAATTTAAAATTTGGGCTTCAATAACCTAATTTTGAGTTTTAACAAGGTAATCCTCCAAATATGTACAGTAAAGACGCGTTTTTAGAACTTCAAAACTCGATAAAATTCAGAACAAACCTTTACACAAAAATACTATTTCTGATCAGCGCTATCAACTACCTCACTAAAATTGAAAAGGTCAAAAATATGGGTGGCTCCCCCTCTTCAGAAATCGTAAAAAGGATTGCCATAACGAATTCCCTGTGTTGGAAAACCCCACCATGCAAATTTCAGCGTGAAGTCCAAATTGCACCCATGGATAGTGTGCGGTGGATAGTGTCCCTGCACGGACGGACAGAGATTATTTTTTCGATATAGTATAGAGATGTTAGTTGATAGGGTTTGGCCCAAAACGTACAAAAAACGTTTTCAGATCAAAGTTTTTCCTTTCAAAATTCCATTGATGATTCTTCCAAAAAAAAAATCCATCTGGTCCATTATGTCCATTAATGAGTTTTTTTCCAAAAAAATTATTTTTGAATTTATTTGAAAACCATCTTTTTAATTTTACTGTCGATTAGGAAGTTTTAGGTCTAGATCTCTCCATAGAGGGGTCACAATTGGGGTCTAAAGTCAAGATTTCGAAAGATTTTGAGGGGCCTGGATTATTGCTTCTATTGGAGGCTATGCTTCTAGTAAAGGCTGTGCTTCTATTAGAATAAATACGGTGCTTTGCATACTTCAACTCCATGCTTGAAAACAAAAGCAAAAAGAAAATGACGGCTCTACGGGGGAAACACCCCCGTATTGTAGACGTCATTTTTCGGCTGGTTTAAGGATATTTTTTAAAGTTTGAAAAATATGTTAGCAAGATTGTAATCAATTAATTCATATTTAGGCGATGAAGAATGGTCTTGATGCGCTTTGTGTTCGCACTGATTCGCAGTTTCTGATCGACTCTATGACTAAATGGGTGAAAGGCTGGAGAAAGAATGGTGAGTTTTAACGCTCAATGTTAAGTTTTAAAAGTTAATACTAACTTAAACATGGTCAAAGTAACAGTTTTTGGGTTTAGGGTGGAAAACGGGCTCCGGGGAACCAGTGAAAAACATCGAATTGATGAAGAGGTTGGACGAGTTGACGCAATCGATTCGGGTAATATCTATTTTAAATTTTAAAAAGACCTTGGAAGTTGATAAATATTTAAATATTAGCACAACAGCTATTTGGGAATGAAACCCCGTCATTTTGCTGATTTTTCAGGTTGTTTACGAGAAAGTCCCGGCGCACTCGGGTGTTTATGGGAATGAGATGGCCGATCGACTTGCTACACAAGCAGTCAAGAAAGCAAAAAAGCAAAAGCAAACAAATTAGTTTCATTGCCGAAAACATTAAGCCAAAATAAGTATTTACTTCTTTGTTTCTGCTCAATTTTTGATCGATCTCCTTCTATTTGGGTGTTATTCATCGCGTTGTTCGGATGTTTTATGATTGTGTTACAAGCGAACAAATTGAAGCAGATTGTGTAGTTTTTTGTGTGCGGTATATTCAGATTCAGTCGATGCAATTAACTTGTTGTTTTGTTTTGTTTGCAATTGTTTTGCAATTGTTTTGTTAGGTTGTAACAGGTTAAGCTTTTATGTTTCTAACGGCGGATATTTTCGTCAAGTTTGAAAGAATTGTAAACAGATTGTTTTTGGTGAACGATGAAATGTCTCGACACTTTGCTCAAAAGATCGAGTTTGAGGAGAATGACTGGCATGCTTTTTTGAGTGATTGTGAAACTAGAAAGAATTTCAGAATTCTATAAAGTTACGGGAGGTAGTCAAATGAGCGCCAATCATTTCAGCGCCAATCATTTTAGCGCGCGTTCATTTCAGCGCGCGTTCATTTCAGCGCCGCACCAAAAATGACTGGAAAACATTCATTTCAGCGCCGAATCAGCTCATTCTGTATATGCATGTTATTTTTGCATTTTCTGCATGATCTCAAAGTTTTTACTGTATGTTTTTATCTAAATCATCTAAAGATAAAAATAATTCTTGGCAGCAAAATAAACCAAAATAAATCATGAACAAAACGTTACTTTGACTCAGAGTGTTCCTTTGTCTCGCCACTTCTTGCGCAGTTCACGAGCCTAAGCAAAGAACTATGTTAACTGTAAGCAAATTGTAAACGAAAACGGCAAGAAACGGTGAAAAAGCATGCTATTGGGGGAAAATATCATACAACTAGCAAATTTACACATTTTCATCAAAACCTTAAATACGAGCTAATCTAACAATTTTTTCCGCGCATTTGATGCCTACTACCGTGCCCTAGGTCAAATGAGTGAAAAAAAGTGTAAAAACAGAAGCAAAACCCTAAAAAACATGCAAAAGCAGCGTAGAAAGCAAAAATATTAAAATTTAGTCGCGCTGAAATGAACGTTTTCCAGTCATTTTTGGCCCGGCGCTTAAATGAACGTTTTTAGGCCTTTTTAATTTGGCGCTCAAATGATTGTTTTCCAGTCATTTTTGGCACGGCGCTCAAATGAGTGGCGCTGAAATAAGCGTGAGCCAAATCGTTGGCGCTGAAATGATTGGCGCCCAATTGTTGGCGCTCATTTGACTACCTCCCAAAGTTACTAACGTGTCATTTTTAGACATAACAAGCTGTCGATAACGAAAACTTAAATCCTTTTTCAGAGGCAGAAGGTGTAAAAAATTAAAAAATCGATTCATTTTGTTATTTAGTCGGTCCCTCGAACGAACCACGGAATGCCTACGGCGCCCAGCATATTCATTTCATTGGGTCTCTCTTCGTATTTCTAATCTAATCTATCCACTTTTTGTCTGATTTTGTGAGAGTTCACAAAGGATATCGAAATATATAAAAAGTTGACAGATTTGATAGAGTCAAGATTACGGTAGAAAGAGGAAAGAGGACACGTTTTAGGAAACGAGTTTCGAGAAAAGAAAGCACTCGAATTGGCACTATCCGAAAAAGCATAATCAATATTTGTTGAAGTAACACAAGTGAGTTAGCCGTGGGATATTACCGGCTAGTGCCAGGCATTTTAATGATTTGCACAAATTCAAAGTTAATTTCGATTGTTTCCGCGTTTTTCTAGGAGATTGCGCATTTGTCGATATAATATGGGTAACTGCTTTTTTTGTTTGTGATTTTTCTTTTCATTTGATTGAGTAGAAGGTGAAATAAAATCTTTGGGTTTGGAAAAAATGCGGAAAATTTTTCGCTAACGATTGAAAATTGATTGAAAAACATCTTTAGATTTACCCCATGTTTCGCGTTTAACGACTCGGAAGCGAAAGGAGTCGAACTAATCAAAAATGCTTTGGATCTTGCCATAGGATGGTTTTTTTACGTGAGCCTAACAAGGCAACCTTCCAAGTTACAATATGAGGTAGGTACCAAAAGAAAGGCGTGAAAATGTACGTTCAGAAACTGTTTTGCAAAAAGGCTAATCGGCAAAACGTGCAAAATTATAGCCATTTGAATTTCGAAAAAATGAAAGCTTTTCTCGAATTTCTGGCACAGTGATTTTGATTCCGGCGGAAAAGCCTCTCCTTTCCAAAAGCCATTCTTTTTTGTGCGTTTTGCCGATTAGCGCTTTTTGAAAACAGTTTCTGAACGTACATTCTCAAGCCTTTCTTTTGGTACCGACCTCATATTGTAACTTTTCTCTTGTAAGGTTCCTCTTGTAAGCCTTTAAAGCGCTTGCCCAAGTCGAGTTGGGTAACGGTTTGTGAGTATCCGCACTGTGAAAAGCTTTATAACAAAGAAATAGCAATAAAATGAGAATCAACTAGACAGCGAATTTACAACGAAAAATGCTGAATGTTGAAACATGGATTCTTTAAGCCACCTTTGACAAGATGAATCCAGGAAAATGAGTTTTTAAAGCCTTTCGCTTTTATTATCCTTTGTCCCCTTTCCAAATACAGCATATTGGTCAAATATCGGTGTTGTCTCGAACCATTGTTAAGCGCCAGTCAAAACCATTTTCCCCATTTGAGCATTTGAACCGTAAATTTGTGTTTGTGCAATGAAAAGTCTCATGTGAGCATTTGAGCCAAGAAGGAACATTTCTGAGATTTCAAATCAAATTCATCAATGATTTTTACGAAATTTTCCTTTATTCTGCTAGTTTTCTGTTTTTTGATCGTTCATGAATGTCGACGTGACGCGAATCAACGATTTAAGGTGACATTTGGTGAAATGAAAGGGCAACCAGTTTGCAAAACCCGTTTGCCCTGCCCACAAATCTATTCAAATTCAAAACTCTATTCAAAGATCAGTTTTGTTGATTTTTGCTAATTGAGTTGCCAATTCGTTTCGAGTTTCTGCCTTGAATAAGTTGAAATTGAGTAATGAAAGTAGCTGGGATGAGCTATTCGATGCAGAATTTCATGCTTATCATGATGCTCATTTTCTTTTTTTTTTTGCTACGTAGCACTCTGTCAAAAGTTATACGTTTTAAAGTTTTTTTCAAAGAGTTAAAAGTGATGAGTCAAAAATCAAACCACGACATTAGAACCCTGTCTTCCCCACCAATTGCAGGTGATGGCGGAGTGGTAGTGAGTTGAGATTGCAGTGATGGCGAACCTCCAGCAAAAGTAGCTGGGAAAGCCTCTCTTGCCCTAGTTCCCAGCTAATTTCATTGTTTCAATTTCAACTTCAACTCACTCAAAGGCAGAATCTCGATTCTTTGCTAGACACTAAACTTTCATAAAGCTTTGTTTTTTTTGCTAAAATTTTGCTAAAAATCTATGCATGCAAAAGTTTTTTTGTTTTTAGAATATAGAATAGATATATAGAATCTAGAATCTAGAATCTAGAATAGAATCTAAAATAGAATCTAGAATAGAATCTAGAATAGAATATAGAATAGAATATAGAATAGAATCTAGAATAGAATATTTTGTTTTTAAAATATTTCAATCCTTACTAGAAATTGTAAAATTTATTATAAAAATAAAAAAATCAAATTCAGGCGTGTTGCGCTCGGCAGAAAAACGCGGACAAAGACTGCAAACGGAAATTCTGTGATTTTCACGCGATCAGCCAACACAATGTGAGGTTTAAATGAAAAAAACCAACAACAACAACAACAACAAATCGTAAGAAGATCCATGTCGAATTATTGTTGAAAACCATCCATTTTAGCCTCATTTTTTGAAACGCAATCTTTGAAAAGATTAAAGTTTTGATTTTGAAAAGATTAAAGTTGCTTTTTTTGGCTGATTCCTGTAGCGCGAAGTTATTTTGTAGCAAAAACTAAACCTTGTAAACCTTGTAAGCTAAATCGATTCTACAGTATCCCTAGAATGAAAGTATTCAGCTGACAAACTGTGGTGACAAACGGACAAACTGACAAACCTTCTAGGTTCATCTAAATTTTCAAATTTTAATACCCAGATTCAAATGCTCAGCTGAATAAAGTAAAAAAAAAATTGTTGATCTATCAGTACCTAATATCAGTATCAGTGCCTATCAGTAGTTGTTGACCTATCAGTACCTCGAAGAAATAGAAAAAAAAACTAGCAATTTATTTCAAACCGAGGGGAAATTAGCTTTGTGAACTTTAAGAAAATCTACCTCATTTTGAAACTTGAAAATTTTCGCCAAAGTTTTTGCAAAATTCGAGACTTTTGTCTGACTACAGTATGCCAATAAAGTGTTCCAGCTGACTATCTTCTAGCTTATAGCTTATAGCTAAAAGATATGCAGACTTAGCGGATGAATACTTTTGATTCCAGCGATACTGTGCGAGACAAGAGATTTAGACAAATTTTCTCTGTTTCAAAGTTTTGAGCATTCAAGCCGACTTCGGGTTTTTAATTGTATACTTTTCTTAAAATGAATCAAAAATTTAAATACAATGTTTCAATGAAAGGCACAAACTTTTTGAACACTGGAAGTCAGTGATTTAATCTGCGAGAAGCCAAAAAAACGATCACAAATTTTCCTGTATTCACAACTTCTAGGTACTCCATTATTTGAACACTTGTTCACCCCGGGGTGACACGGTTCAATCCATGTGGGATTGTGCTTCGAGTCGAGTCGATCACACCGAGTGCTGCAAGAGAAGGTGAGGGGGAGGAAGGGGATCCAATTCTTACGGTAATCGTCCAGTTAAAGTCTACAATTTGGTTGCCGCAAGGTTGCTCCAGAGTAAGGCATGAGGCTCTACCCTAGCGGCAATGGGGTACCTGTCGGTGTAGCTCACCGACAGGTATCCCATTGCCGATGTAGTAGAGCGTTCGCCCAGTAAGCGAGAGTTCGAATCGGGTTCGAATCCCAGCCACAGATCCCGGTTCTAAGCTGCCCTTTCCTTTCAAGTTCTACAGCTGTATATCCAGTTACAGCTCTTGCAAGCATCTTTTAACCTATTGTAAGATCTGTAAGGCTTGTTGTAAGGGCTTGTTGTAAGGGCTTGTTGTAAGGGCTTGTTGTAAGGTCATCTTTTAACCTATTGTAAGACTTGTTGTAAGGTCTGTAAGCCAGGCAAGGACAGATGGTTCAAGATTAAAGATTTTTTAAGGGTTGAGTTTTGTTTACAAAAGTTGAAACTATTTAAATACTCGGGTTTCTATTTAATAAAGAACTATTGCTTCATCGTTTTTTTCAAGTTTCAAGTTTCAAGTTTATCCGTATTTGAATTGGAATCGATTCCCTAATGTGGTCCTGCACTGTGTTGTAGCTTTGATTACCGTCAAGTACATTACTGGACTTTGGATATTTATCATTATTTATCATTTTCATTTTCGGCGCCGACTCATTCTCCCCAACCCAATAAAATGGATTCACGTAAAATGGACCCAACTCTTCGAAAGCTCCGGCAAAAGAGGAACAACCAGGCCCTGAAATCATATAATTTATGTGAAAATGTAATACGATGTCTTCTAGAAAGCGAGCTTACCTTTGAGGTGGGTAGAGAATTGGTTCCCGAGTGGAGCCGTATTCTTCATCAATCATAGCTGATGGCCTAAAATCGACAATCTCTTTTGTGTCTCGAATTCCTCAAGCAATTCATTTTTCTCTTTCTCGTGCGTTTCGATTAGACGAGCGATGTATTCATCAGATTGGAAACGAGCATCTCTCTGAAAATTTTGAATAAGATTAGAGATTGTTCTTCGTCTCAAATCCATTTCTTCAAACACGTTCTCTTTCTTAATCTTATCTCTATTTTTATCTAATCTATCTACTTTTTTGTCTAATCTTATGAGGATTCACAAAGGATATCGAAATATACAAAATGTCTTGATTTGGATAAAAAATCAAGACAAGATTACGGTAGAAAGGGAAAAGGGACACGTTTTAGAAAGTACGTTAAATTTGTCTAAAGTTGAATTTTATGAAAAATCGAAAGCTGAACTCTGATGATGATGGTTCTAGAACTTTTGCTCCGGGGCCGTAGTCAGATATATTTCATAGCAAAGGGTTTAAAGCTTCCAAAACGATCTATCAACATTAGCCATGCCGAATGCGAGGTCCATTTAGGCATCCCCAGTATACCTCTAGATTTCATAAACATTGCCAACCTGCTTGTTCTGCCAATTAAGGCTGGCGGCGGGACACACCAGAGAAATCTCGGCTCACTCCACATTGCACAACACGCGAACGCATCCTCAAAGGCTACCCTGGGGCATCGCATCCGAAATAACTTTTTACCTTGATCCAGGGAGAGATCAGGGTAAAGCCAAGGTCAAGACAAGGGCAGGAATAATGGAGTATTTGAGAAGAACATTGACTCAAGTGACTAACAAGTTGAAAAAGGGTAATGAAAGTAAAAGTTCTTGATTTTGCTGATTGTTGTCAATTTCGATCAATAAATGTTCAATAAAAGCGGTTTTTTTCGGCTTTTAACAGGCTCAGTTATGCTGAATTTATTGTGGAAAATTCAGATTTATTAGTTGTTTTTGAGAATTGAGTGAAATCTTCAGCGAGTGAAATAAAAGTTTCAAATTTTTTGATCTAATTAAAGGGTCTTTTCCTACAGCTTTGTTCTTTAGAAATTCAGCTCTTTCACTCGGGCGGCATGTACAAATCGTCTTTTTTTGAAGAAATTCTAGTGAAACTTTTTGTTGAGAACTTTCTTTGCAATCAAATATTATTATGAACACAATCTGAAGAGCTCTCAAGTCTATTTTGAAAACAATTTTCGTGTTGAATAGCGTCAAATGAACGTTAGCTGGGTCTTTCAGAGACACCAAATAAAGCTTAAAACAGGCTCGATCAAAAGGGGAAAATGATTAAAACGATTAAATCGATTGGTCATTCCTCGAACAAACGTATGAATGAATGAATAATGAAGTAAAACTGAAAAAGTAGAAATTCATCGATCAAACAGTTGAAACTTTATTTTATTTTTCTAATAACAAATTACAATATTTTCTCTCACCTACAGATTAGCATTGTCAATTTTTGTTTTCCACGTGTACAATCGGTCCTTTTCCGTGTTCACCTAAAAGTTTCTGACCAATTTTGCCTTAAATTTCACTGTATTTTTGCTACAAATTCTACACCTTGGTAAACAATTGTGTCACTTCTAAGGTGAGAGAGTGCAATCCAACTCGAATCTCCTGACTCTCTTTGTCCTAAATCGACCATCCAATTCATTGTCACCTCCAATACAAACTTTTCTATCTAAAGGAAATTAGCCCTTGCACGCAGATGATTAGCTCATTGTTTCAGAAATGTGGCCCATGCAAGTGCTGTGCTTTGTTACCGTCTCGCTTGTTCTTGTCACAGAGATCATGCACTTTGGCGATAAGTAAATATTGGAAGGATTTATCAAGAATTCGAATAAAAGTAGACAAGAAAATCATTTTATAATATTCTAATGATGTTTTGGAGTGATTGGCTCGTGTTTCACCATTGCATTCCCGCAGGAGAATCGCCTCAGAGTTCGGGGAGTTCGTCTCGAGGAAATAGGATTCTCTGGAAAGTTCGAATTCAAACAAAAAAGCCATAATTTCCAATGCGAGTAATATTCGAGCAAGGTTGGTACATTACTATAGTAATACTGGCATGCTTCTGTAATACTTGACAAAATCTTATAGTTACCGTAAAGCCTCTTTACTACCCACTAAGATTTGCTAATGTCAATAATTGGCATTGTCAATAAAGACATTCAGTAATTGTTTCTTTTGTAATATACAAACTATTCATAGAAACAAATTTATCGTCTGTAAACTTATTTTAAAACAAACTCTGAGATGTGGTTGAGCGATGGTGTTGCGTGAGGCTAAATCGCGAGTACTTGGTCCTGTGTGTAGTTGAGCTCGCGAGGGGCGTTTGAAGGAAAAACGGCTAATGAGCGATTGATGAGTCGAGATCGCTCAGTCTTGATCGTGGTTCGACTTCGTTTTCGATCGCTGAATTGAATCGTTAATTCTTTACAATTCTTTCAGCTGAATATCTTTATTTGAACTGATTAGCTCAAGATTCAAGTGTTTTCAAAAAGCATTCATTTTAGAGAAACCACCGTAACCATCGCTCGCTAGTTTCCATTCGATTAGCCTAATTTTCGTCACATTAACTGATGATTTATGGTTCTTTCATCGAATTTGACTCAAATTTGGCATTGATCGAATGAAAAAATGGCGAATGGATTACGGTATTTTGTCTAAAAATACGATGTCTTCTAGAAAGCGAGCTTACCTTTTGAGGTGGGTGAGAGAATTGGTTCCCAAGTGAGCCGTATTCTCATCAATCATAGCTGATGGCCTAAAATCGACAATCTCTTTTGTGTCTCGAATTCCTCAAGCAATTCATTTTTTCTTTCTCGTGCGTTTCGATTAGAACGAGCGATGTATTCATCAGATTGGAAACGAGCATCTCTCTGAAAATTTTGAATAAGATTAGAGATTGTTCTCGTCTCAAATCCATTTCTTCAAACACCGTTCTCTTTCTTAATCCTATCTCTATTTTTATCTAATCTATCTACTTTTTGTCTAATCTTATGAGGATTCACAAAGGATATCGAAATATACAAAATGTCTTGATTTGGATAAAAAATCAAGCGGTAGAAAGGGGAAAAGGGACACGTTTTAGGAAAGTACAGTAATCATTGTATTCTGTAACGCATCGCTCTGTTACACAAAAATAGCAGTTTGGGTAGTTTCTCAAAAGGGTGACACATTTTAGCGATCAAATCAGAGCTCGACTCACCTATTTCAGCTGATTTCTCATAAATCTGACTGTCACTTAACGTAGCTTAAGGCTAAAAATACTGTATTTTTCAACAGTCACCAATTTCCTCTCCAAATCCTCTTTGATCTCTTGCAGCTGCTGGGTGTTGAAAGTTGTTGTAGTTGTTTTGTCAACTTTTGATTCTCTTCCAAAAGTGCTTGATTTTCTTTTTTTCTAGCTTCGATTTCATTTGTGTTATTGTTCAATTCAAAGAACAGATCACAGTATTTCTTCTCCTCTGCCACTAATTTTGTCTCCAAGCGGTGTTTCTAAAAAGTTTACTTTATTCTGGATTCAATCTGGATCCAAAATTTGGCGACAAAGCCATTTTGGTGTTTTGATCTCTATGAACATTTTATTTGATAAATTCTTATTTGTAAAGATATTCCTAATTCCGGGCACCTATAGGGATCCTGTAGACAAAAAGTAAACCCAATTCGTTAAAAAAGGATCTGCTTGTTTGCTGCGTTTAAGCGGAAAATGCATCGAGGGATGCTACGTGAACGGGATTGAAACATACCCGTCGGATACAGGTGAGTAAATAGTAATTTCATTTTCAGAATCCAGAAAAAAGTTCCAAAAACTTTAGTAACTCATTCTGAGTGAATCCTATCAAACCTTCATTAAAAACTGACTTGCAATGTGGAGCGTCAACTTTGAAACTTCAAACTTTTCGTTATGAAAATCTTGAAGCCTTTGATTTCTGTGCCTTGAAGCCAACACCAAGTGTATTCAATTACTATTGCTCCTATAATTCTTTTGATGATTCAGGCGAATCTTTGTTTACGAACAAAATTAACATTCAACTTACTCACTCAGAACTTGCCCATCTCGCGGCCGAATTTCTTAAACCTTTCAGATTCTATTATTTCGTTTGGTTTTTATTGATTAGATT